CAATTACTGGTAACATCAGATATGACAATAGGAAAAAATCACATAGAAATTTATTTATTAGTTTTTGGAAATCACGAAAAGATCATATAGTCTATTTCAATCAGTGGGCAATATTAAGATGAAAATGTGTAATTATTTGTTCTTATTTAAAAATTTTTAGGATTATTTCCTTCACATAATTTTTAGCTCTTTCAAGATAATTTTGTTCAAATGACTATTGGTTCATAGCGTGTGGCAGATTTTCATTGTAAACTTTATAATGATACTTGAAAAGTTTTGAATGAATATTATCCCCATCTGCATTTGTAGACATAATACTAAACTTTCACCTTGAAAAGATATTGTTCAAAATGTCTGAAAAGTGTTAAATGGTTGAAGCTATACTCATGAAATAAAAATATTATGATTTAGTCTTAGATTATTGACTATTAGATTAGTAGTATTGGTAGAGAAAACAGTCAGTATTGTAGGTTTAATTGGTGAAAGTAATGATTTAGGTAGAAGAATAACAATAGAAGTGTGCCAATCTCATTATCTGATAAACACTGTCAGAGTGATCTTTCCACCTGTTCTATTAGTCCAATCTCTCTCTGCTTCAGTATTGAATTCAACATCTGTGTACCCTACATGGTGGGAAACTACATCTGTGTACATGATGACTACATCTTTGTACATGAAAATCTACATCTGACATGATGGGAAACGAGATCTTGTGTGCAACAAGACTGCATCTTTGTGTATATGATGACTACATCTTTGTATATGATGACTACATATATGTACATGATATGTACATGATGGAAAGATCCATCTTTTTACATGATGGGAAACTGCATCTTTGTAGAATTTGTTCGTGATTGGAAAATAGATCCCATGTCAACATCATAGTAAAATTTATCTTTTTACGTTGATGGAAGAGTACATCTTTTGGAAAACAACATCTTTGCTGATAATAGACAATTGCAAAGCTGGTTGCTGTCGATGGGAAGCACAATTGCAAAGCTGGTTGCTGTCGATGGGAAGCATATTTTTGAAACATTAGAAACTGCATACGTCTTTTTGTCATGGAAATGGCATAGACTTTGCCCTTGATGCAAATGCACACATCTTTGTCAAATTGGAAAACTGTCCCATCACCCAAGCCATTCTCTTGGCCCTTACATTCTTACCATGAACCTATTTGCTTGAAATTTGCAAAATGTCATGCATTCTCTGTAACTAATATGTTTCTACATTACTTTTTTTACTTTAACAATGGGTTGTAGAAAGTAAAGGTTAGTCTTTAAGAATATTTTCACAACTTTGTGTAACAGAATCTAAGTAATTATTCCCAAGATGTGTTGAAAAGAAGATTAGGTTTCATAGTTAAAGTAGAAAAAGGGAGTAAACTGATCTATATCAATATTGGGTGAAAAAAGAGAAAATGCCATGTTTTACCTTTACAATACCTAGCTAATTATTGAGATAAAACAACTAGAATTCATTTGTTTAACACAAACAATAAAACCTTTCTTTCCTTTAGATTGTGTTAAATGATTGTTTTGTTTATATAATGTCTGTATTCCTCATTTCATTTCTGCTCCTTCTCACTTTCTTACCTTCATAAAGGTGTTTTTGAAGAGTGAATAAAAGGAATTTGACAGTATTTGCTGCAGTATAAAAAGTATGTAGATGGTTTAGGATAAGAAGATAAAGATCTGCTACCATCTGATTGTCATCAAGGAGTTTGTTGTAGGAATTTTAAAATGTTTGCACATAGCTTAACTCACATCTTTCGTTTCTCTTTGTAGACTGGTGATAACGTGGTCTGGGAAACACACAAAGTTCATTTAACCAAGGTAAGCCCTTTTGAATGTTTATTTGACTATATTTGATTTGACAAGACATATTTGGTAAAAACTATAATCCTATTGAAAATGAAAATTGTTTCATATTTGATTGATTTCATGTATGAATAGAATGGCTTTGTGTAAGATTACTGTACAAATATTTGATTAAAAAATGTCATTTCTGGAAAGATTTCCTGTATGTTTTTAAACTTTTCCTTTTCTAAAATTAATGCTATGAACAAAATAATGATAGATTCCACCAATGAATAACCTCAAATATTTCTGATTAAATATTTCTTTTTGTCAGCAATGCCATATGTACCATTGACAGAGCAAAAGGGACTAAAATTAAGTACCCATGTTTGTCTAAAAAAAAAAAAGAGAACTGGCCCCCTGTTTCTCAAAAGATCTTATGCTTAAAAATTGTCATTTTACCTGGAGAAATATAACATTAACAACAAAATTTGATCGGTTTGGGCTGTGTTTATTGGCCTGAAATTGATTGAATACTTTGTACCTTAAAGAGTTCCTTCTTCTAGTACCAAATGATGTACATGGTGAGCCAGAAACAGCTAGGCCATGTTTTAAATCATGTGGTGTTAAACAGACAAATGTTGATAAGTCAATGATTTATAAGCTGTTTTTTCAACAAGTCCTTTATCAATAGAGATAATCATACTATCAACTACTTAGACTAAGTACTAGTACTATTACAGATATATATTTTATCTACTAAACACAGTATGGTATACCATTAAACAGTACTTCAAACTGGGGATTTATGTCTTAATAACACTTCTATTTCATGATTTATTGAAATTGACAAACATTTTAGTTATATTAAAATGTATAATTGTGATGTGTATTTCCTGATTGGCTGATATAATTCAGATAATTCGACATGAATTGAAATGCGAGAATAAGGCTAGATTTTGGATTTTGGGTTTTGTTCAGATCATTAGAACTTTTTATTCTGGAAAAACTAGATCAAACTCATACTGCTCAAAGTAGTAACAGGTTTCCCATCCAAGGTTACTATCTAAGAATTTCATGTTTTTAGTTTAATTGCCAGCCAGAAGTAGTGAAAAGATTTGTATATTGTTGCTTATTTGACTGAAAATTTCAATCTATTTTGAATGGATGTCCAAAGAGTAAAAATCAAATTCTCTTGACTTCAAGTCATTATTCTCTTGAGAGTTTTCTAAAACGTTATATAGAAAATGATTTAATCAAATTTTGTCTGAGTTAATGGGAAAATAAGAAATTTTGAAATAGAATATTGATTAAGGTTTAAAATGGGGAGATAAATTGAAATCAGGAAAATTGAGAAATGAAATTGTATCTGTTACTTAAGTTTTTTATATTGAATAAGCTTACAATTAATAAACTCAATTTTGTACAATTTGGTTTCCATTGGACTCATTTTCACACTCACTCTTTGAAATAGTAAAATTGCGTTCTGTAGATTTTCTACTTTTCTATTGTTCTTTAACAATTCTTGGATAATTCATTAGAAATACCAGTTGAATGTAATAAATAAGCTTTATTTTAACTCCTAACAGAAATCCATTTGATTGCCAAAATTCAGATGCATTCAGCTACACTGTCGATTATTACTCCAAATTATTACTATTATATGTTAAGTGTTCATAAGGACTATTTTAAGGGTTTGAGGTCTAAAAACAGCATTGATTTTTGTCTGTCAGTCAGACATGAGTGACTTGTGTTCACTGGGTCTGGGTGTTCAAATATTACAGCGCTCAATCAATATTTATAACAGAGTGTTTAACTGTTCAATTAAATAATCTTTAGGTGTCTTTAGGAGTTTACATATCACAAACTAGGTTAAATGATAGGTGATAAAACAGAGGGAAAATGTGTTTAACAAACTGGTGTAGTCATTATGTTACTAAATGCACACACTTTAGCAGGTTTCAACACTTGAAAACAGATAATAGGTAATGATATATCTGATGTGTTTTGGCAAGGATTCTGATATTTTTTATACTAAAACATAATAATATAATACAAACTCTATGTCTATCAACATATATACTTTCTAGTTATAAATGTCACATATTTTACAGGTTGTTGTCTTACTTAATATCTTTATACTCTAACTATTTGCTGACATAGACATTTCTATGACAAATGTCCTTTCAAACCCAACTTGAATTGGCGCCAGTGGATCCTCTATGAATAATTAGATGGGGGAGGCCACAGAATTTTCATGGGGTGTGGGGGTTGTAGGCAAAATGATAATATAAAATGAAATTTGAAAGATTAAGCGTGAAAGCTTCAGTTCTAGGGGCAAATATGGCACCTTTATAACAACACCACTGTTAGCATTTGCAAAATAGTCATCATTGCTTGATAGCCAATTGCAAAAAAATCATTGCTTGATAGCCAATTGCAAAATAGTCATCATTGCTTGATATCCAATTGCAAAATAGTCATCATTCCTTGATATCCAATTGCAAAATAGTCATCATTCCTTGATATCCAATTGCAAAATAGTCATCATTGCTTGATAGCCAATTGCAAAAATAGTCATCATTGCTTGATATCCATTTGCAAAATAGTCATCATTGTTTCATAGCCAATAGTTTTAACAATTAAGATTATTTCTGATGTTTAGTTATGTTTTATCCATAGATTTATTCAAGGTCATTGTATTTTATTTGACATTGTTTAAATACATCTGCTTGTTGAAATGTAATGTTATGAAAGTTTAAAATTGCTATCTAGGTATGTTTAGTACTACTTTGGAATGTATAAGTCAAAGTTCAGAACACAAGGTTGATGGTAAAAAATAAATAAGATGGTATTTTAACAGATAAGTCAAACAATACATTGTGATAATACTTAGCATTGTTTTAGACTATTAGTTGATAAGTACCATCTTTCTGACCTTTCACATTGTCCACCTGTACATCTTCTTATCCTGACTAAGTCTCTGACCAATATAACTAGTACTTAAACTGGTTTCTGCTCATTTCGGCCAGAAATATCAGATCATATATTGTTAGTCTTCTCTATGTTGAAGGTGAATTTTTAACGTTTTGGTATTGAAACTCAAGTACCTGGGCACTCCAAGAATGAGTGCTTTGAAAGGAATTTAAAAAACACTAGTATAGTAATGGAATTAATTTTTTTCAGGCACCAGTCTTTGGTTTCGGTATAGCTGTAAGTGGGGGAGTTGATAGTCCACATTTCGCTAATGGTGACCCCTCTATAGCTATTTCAGACGTATTAAGGGCAGGACCAGCAGAAGGCAAACTTCAGTAAGTATATTTTTTTATAAATTTTAGGTCTGTTAATATCATGAATATCAGGATTTAGTCTTGTTTTTCATGTGAAAAATTTTGGGTTTATGAAATTCTTAAAATTAACTAATTTGTGATGTTGCAAATCCCAACAATAAAGTAATATAATGTTTGGCAATAGACATGATATTTCCCTGTATAATGTACAATCTTTGGGGACAAGCTTAATCTGTAAAGAAATGACAAGGCAAATTGTTGTGATAATATCTGTAGAATTTGATGTATTATCACTGGATGTTTATTTTTCATTTTGTTGGCTGTAACTGTGTTTGAAAAGAGTAATTGGGTAGAAGTTACAAATGAAAAGACTGGATCTAAAAGTAGCTAAGACTGATTAGTCTTTTCAGTTTTCTTTATAAGGAAAATGTCATTATTAGTAGCTCAAAATAGGAATGACATATTGGTCTTTGGGATTCGACTTGAACTAAATAAGGAAATTGTCAGGATCAATTAGTCTGTATATTAGTTCGTCAAGGCTTCATTAATTAACTATATAATTACTAGTATCGCAGTAAGATTTAAAGAAGATAGTTCACGTATACTGTGATAATGATAATTATATATTATAACTAAGTCCTCATCCTTATCTAACTTCAATACAAAGGAGAGACAAGGGTTTCTAGCCTCTGTGTGAATTCTGGACAGTTATAGTTCCATTGTGATTTTCTATCAGGTGTATTTGGTTCCTGTAATTCCAGAAAAACTGTCATACTGATTATGACATCACTGTCACAAATGCCAGCTATCAGTGTCTCTAATAGACTTTCAACGACTCAAAAATTCCTTGGAGATGCCCCAAAAGATTTTGAACTCACTGGGTTTACATCCCTATTGCACTACAATCAAGGAAAAGAGATCCAGACCAGAGGATGCTAAGGTTGCTCTGAGGGTGGAAAATGTATTGGTGTCATGTTGAAATGTCTTGCAATTAGGCTTAGAATGCTGTCAGCATCTCATGTTGCTTTCTTCTAAGCCAAAAGGTTCAGGATTTCAGATTCAAAAAGACTGTTCATGTACTTTGGTCATCTAAGCCTGAGAACACATTAACAATATGTTCTGGCATTCATTCTGCAGCCATGTTTTTGTTGTGTTTTACCTTGGCATTATTATCATAAAGATTATTGTTGATATGTTGTTTATGTTAATTTTTCAGAGTAAATGATAGAATAAACAGTGTAAACAACATATCATTAGAAAATGTAGATCACAGTCGAGCTATACAAGTGCTAAGAGATAGTGGTAATTCTGTACATTTAGTAAGTTTTATTTCTTTTCATTTACTATTATATAAACATTATTGTCAAGTATTTTTATGGTACTAAGATATGCACATAAGCACATTTGTGGACAAAATGTAGCTCAGTCGGTAAGAGTATTGGAATCTTGATGTCATTGACATGTTTGCTTCAAACTAATGCAGGTTAAGGGCTCCAATCTGTGCTGCAAGCGAAAGTTTAGTGACCTGAAGTCAGTTCAACTCATACAGCTTTGTCCAGTTGTTGTGTCGTGATCATAACCTTGTTTAAAAATGAGTGTTCGGGGGGTCTGATGATTGTTAACAGAACTCATTGTTAGTACTATTGTTAGTTCATATTAACAAATTGCTCTTTATTATTGTAGGTTGTTCGTCGTCGTGTAGTGCTACCCACCATCCTGGAGTCAGACGTTCCACCCCTCAAAGTCACCCTCTCTAAGAAGAGCAAAAAGGATGGTAAGTTTCATAATATACCTAACCATGTTCCTGAACTATACAGAGCTAAAATGAATTCATAATATATTTGCCACAATGAACAGACACACTTTCTTTTTGCCTTGTTAAAATAACATTGCCAGTTTCAGATATTATTTCAGAGATATTTCATTCTCTTTATCATATATTTTTAAAATTTCTTCCTTCTCAAATGAAATATAAGGGTACCAGTATTTCATTCATATAACGAGAAATGTAATATTATCTGGACCGTCAGATATGACTTAAGTAAAAGACTGTTATAAGGGTACCAGTGTTTTAAGGGACAGATGCGACATTTTGGGGGGGTTGATTTGAGTCTTGAATGTATGTAAGTTGTGTTTAGAAGTACTAGAAATGTACAGAAATCCCATTATTTCTTCAAAAATCTCAAACTTAAAATTTCCTTTACTATTTCTATAGATGTCTTTTATACAGGCAGTGTTGCAAAAAAAGACGTCTCGTCTTTTTAACTTTCTAACGCATATAATTCTGGACATGTAATTCTGGACACACAGGATACGAAGGCCGAAATTTTGAGGGTGGGCTGTGAATACTATTACTGATTGGCTTAGCTAAAAAAAAATCCCTTTTCTGAGACTTAAGTATGATTGGTCAAAAATATGGCAAGACTGTCCCTTTAAGTCGTATGATGCAAATATGGCATTGGTTCCATTAGATAGTTAAAAAAACCAATATTATCAGTATAGCTATTTCATGAGCGATGTAATAAAAAAGAAGTGCGTTCTGCTGCAAGAGGTTTATGTAATTATGATGAAATAACATGTTGTTGAAACATTGAGATCATATAGTATTGATTTTTCTACTATAAGATGTAGAGATAATTCAATTAGTCGACTTATTCAAGTTTATTATGACCTCCTGGAATGAAATATACAAAACTCATCTTTAGTTTTCTTGTGATTACCCTTTTTATTATGCAAGTTCCAGAATGTTATTTAGTAAGTTTTAAGGCGAGAGTGTTAACAGGAATATGTTGTAAAAGTTTTTGTTTTATCACATGACTGATGATAGTGCTGAAGTTCAGCTATACATGACTCTTTTAAAAATTAAAATGTGATGTCTGCAAAACCAACAATTCAAGAAAAACATTCTGAGCTACTTTCAACTAGGTCATTTTGCTGTGGTATGCATAATATGAAAAACACTTTTTCTATTTCCAGATTTTGGTGTTATCTTAGGATGTAAGTTTTACATCAAAGATATACCTGGTCATAGCTTGGCTGCTCAAGAGGGGGGACTGAAAGTTGGTGATACAGTGCTAAAGGTAAGGAAAAAAACAGAGATATTTAGATAAATTTTTAGGATTCATAGTTTATATAAGAGTTCAAGTCTGATTAGTGTATTTTAAATTGTGATTTTATGTTAGCCAAATTCTAGATAGACTTGTGAATAATTGGACAAAATATGATCATAATTAAAGTAGCATTCAAGTGGAAATATGGACATAGAATAAGTACTATCACTTACCAACCTTTATTATTAGTATTACTGTTTACTGAAAGATTGTTTATATATTGTGTTATTTTCCAGATAAACAATACTATAACAGAGAATCTATCATTAGTAGAAGCTAGAAAATTAATAGAGAAATCTAGTAAAGATAAATTACAGTTGATAGTTTCTAAACGTAAAGATATATCACATAAAAAACAAAATAGTCAACCTAAAGATGATGGTGAGTACTCTTATAATAGAAACTTAAGAATCTGTCAATTTGATGTGACAATTTAAACCCAATTATAGTGTGTTACGGAATTCCATGAAAATTACGTTTAGTTTTACAGACATTTTCATAGTTGATTGAAGCCTTGAAAATGAAGTTCCCTCAAAAGGTTGAAAATGATTAAACTGTAGCACTACAACTATAGTTTTTTTTGTCAAACATCAAGGAACAGTTTAAAAACACAAATGGTGACCTTTAAAATGTAATCTAATACTTTTAGATTTAGATTACTTTACTGTAATTTTCAAAAAAAAATCTTTTGTGTAAGTGGTCATGTTTTGGATATATAATTTCAGTTCCTTATCAACCAGGTTTTGATACACTACGTAGACAACAAGATAAGGAAGATATCAATATCTATAGACCTAGTGTCAGATCAGAAGATGATATACCAGTGTATAAAGCTGAAACCTTACCCAGAGTTAGCGCTGGACATCCTGCCTACCCTGATCCTATGAGATATGATGGCAGATATGCTTATGATGAAGGTCCACCACGACCCCCTCTTCCTACTGGATTTGAAGGTAAGCTTTCATCCTTGTTGAGTGTCAGCTATAATTCAGTCGACCAAAAAAGTATAAGCAGATACAGGAACTTTTCAAAACATAGACATTACTCTTTGTTTGGATGTAATTTTATTTGATGAAACTGATTTTTATTGATGAAACCAAATATTTTTCTTAGAATTATTTCAATTCTTGATAGTCTGAAATGTTCACCTGATTATGAACAGATCTTAGATTTTGTGGTCAAAGGGAGATAATTTGGTACTTGTAGAGTTATCACCCTTTAGTCTTCAGATCTGCTTACTTCTGATAATATTGACAAATATATTATTTACTTCTGATATGAATTATAGACAATCAAGGAAGATCTCCAAGTCCCGGACAACCTCAAGGAAGAGTGAATCCTGAAGATTACTATCACAAATACAACACTCCAGGTTATTCTACTATTGATGGTAGACTAACAGTACAAGATTATGATGGCCGACAGATCCTAGTAGATGATGATGTCTTCAATACATCACATGAAGAGTAAGCATGGTTTAACAATATTTTTTTGAAGACAACTCATACAGAGTTTAGACTGAAATTCATAAGTATGATCTTAAGATTGAAGAATGTGAAACGTCATACCTTGACAGCCTATAGGTGAAAAATGAATATAAGAAATCATGCTCGCTTACTTATATAAGTCTTACTGTTAAAGGTTTGGAATAAGCTTGAGGGAAAAAGGAGCAAACATTATCAATATAATCATAGCATCTTACTTACATTGCAGAATTTCTCTCATTTTTCTCACTGCATGGGCTGCCTTTCTTGGGTAAATTGATTTGTTGCAGAATTGTATGACACAACTTCATTTCCCTGCCAACTTCACGCTGTATTTGTGACCCCAAGGAAGATATATCTGAAGGTCTTTTGAGGATAAAAATGACTTCGTATATTTTTTTGTTTGGACATTGCTGTCTAAGATATTTTATATGACCTTCTGATACACTGTGTAATTAGATTTTTGACCACATTGAAGAACATGCTTTTTGTCATCAATACTAATACAGTACCATAGATTAATTAGTATTCATATATATATACCAATTGACACCTAAAATCATGTTACAAACTTTATCACCAAAATGTCTTTTTGCAGAAGATATGTTGGCAAAAGACATGATATTAGGTAGGACTTGCTTTGTCATTTAGAATCACCATTTAAGATTTATTCATTTAGTTAAGCATGTAGATTTTTTAGTTTGTAGTTTTTTACCAGCATGTATTTTAGTTTAAAACAATAAAGCTTAGTGATGTTACAAAAATCAGAATTCAACTGAAAATCCTCTTAAGGGGTTGAGGAGTTCAAAATTAGTTGAGAAAATCGATTGTCACTATCAGACTATCACAAGAACATATTAGAATCAGCAAACGTGATCCATTGTACACTTTTTGAGATCCAAATGTGATAACTACAAGATTTATTTAATCAGGTCTAGATAAAATGGCTTTGGTCCCACACTATCTAATCAACCTTCTTTCACCCAATTTTTGGTGTCCATTCTTATACTTTTATTACCCGAAAATCCCTCATATGATGGGTCTTTCTTGATAGTATTTTTCTTGTAGTGATATTTTTTTCAATAGCTAGTTGGTTTTGTAGTTTCTTAGTTTTTTGTTTTATATAAAAGAAAAAATTCAATGGGCAAATGTTATTATGTATATTATGCACATTGCTTTGATGCATCATAAAGGTTGTCATATATTCATTGATTTACAATTTCATTCAATCATTAACTAATCCAAGTTTTAACATCAACAAGAGCATGTTTGCACTGAATATCAAACTTGTACAGGATGATGTAAAGTGCTTAAGGTCTTGTTCTCCTTACTTAATAACCTCTGTTTTATTTTAGACCAGAACCAAGATGTGTCACATTTAGAAAGGATGCTGATGTAGGATTAGGGTTAAGGTTGGCTGGAGGGAATGCTACAGGAACATTTATAGCCTCAGTTACTGCAGGCTGTGCTGCTGAAGCTCAAGGATTAACAGAGGGTGATCAAATATTAAAGGTAAACAGCTTGTATGTGTGCTTGATTAGCCTGAAAAGCTTCAAACAAAATTGTGTTTGAAAATAGAATAGGCATTAATTGTTAAATTAACTTCTGCAAGCATGAGACAAAAAAAGAAACCCTGGATGTGATCAGAATGTGATATTCGATCATTAGCAGACATGCCCTCAATACATCCTAGATGTGCATGACAAGAATACAAAAATGTTTAAATGCTTGCTTTGACAAGTTTTGATAAGCTTTGCACAAGACATTAATATTGTCATAAGCCAGGACCCTATTTTGTAGAAATTTGGTTTAAAATGTGACTAGATTGTTAATGTTTGTGGCATAAATCAAATTTAAAGCATGGCAGAAAATATTGCTATCTTAGCTAGATTGTTGATAGTCCCATGTTTAGTATGAAAACCTAGAAGGCTGTTTTTGTTGTTTGCTAACAATGTTGTTGTTGTTGTTTTGATGTGTGTTGTATATTAATTGTAGGCATGGATAACAGACCATGGTGTTAAGGTGTGTACTACTAACATTATAATAGTCACCTTTAGATTGTTATTTTACTACTTAGCATCATTATACTAGTCTTCTAAGTTAACTATTAATACACATCTCATGTATGATCTTAAGAAATTCTTCTTTAGATTATGTTCAGTTGAATATGTTGAAATTTAGAATACCAAATTAAAAGTTAAATGTTTGCTGACAGAATAGAATAGTGAAAGAAATTGATTGCAAAAACTTGAAATGAAGCATCTGATTGCATAATTGGTGACCTAGAAATCATTATGCCAAACAATTTCAGAGATCAGAGTCAATCACAGAAGAAAAAAAAAATGAAATGTAGAATACAAACATGATATCCCTCTTGGATAGTTTCCTCCATGTAATATGCACCTGTGTTTAACTAATATATTGATATATAAGTGTGTATACATACTGTATATATACCATGTATTGTAGGCCAGTGAACGTGAAATAACTGGTATGACTAGAGAAGAAGCTGTAGATTATTTAACTAGTTTACAAGGAGAAGTAACTCTAGTAGTGCAATATAAAAAAGAAGGTAGGCCTCTTTGCAGATCAGATAAGATTTTCTCAGCAACTTGAAACAAAATGTCAGAAAGTATAGAATACAGATAATCTGAATTAAAACAAATTCCCTGATAACTTTGGAAGTAAATTTTAAGATTTTTGTGAAAAATTGTGCCTTAACTTTTCAGAATATGACAGAATTATGGCGAGTCATGAAGCTGGTGACTCTTTTTATATCAAGTAAGTTTTGGTATTTCCAATAAGTTGAATTATTGATATCCCAGGTACAATTGTTGCATCAAGTGATGATTTCTGATAAATATTTGGAACATTACTAACTTGACGTCATTTTCTTGTTTACATTGTATGCATAAGTCCCAGTTATGGAATAAGTCATATTTCCTCACTTTTCTAATAGACCCAAATTCTTTCATGGTTTATTTATTTTTTCAGAACACATTTCCATTTTGAAGGCGATTCCGAATCAGGGGAACATTCGTTTAATATTGGTGATCTATTCCATATTAAAGATACTTTATTCCGTGGTGTAGGTGGTTCATGGCTAGCTATTAAACTAGATAAAAACTTTCAGGAAACTAAAAAAGGAACATTACCAAATACTCACAAGTAAGTCTTTAATTATATACATGACATAATACTAATTGAACAGTAATTCTATTGACACTATTTTTTACAAATGACAGAAAAGAGCAATATTGACATATGAATGTTCAAAGTCAAAATATCATCTGTAGACTCTTTTATGCTTTGATACACTTACCTGTATTTGTCTTCACTCTTATCTGTTCTCTATGTATATTGATTTATGCTAGAAGAGGTGTTAGTAAAGATATGTAACAATTGTTTATATTTACAGAGCTGAGACAATATGTCAATATCAACAACAACAAAATAATGATAAAGAAAACTTTCCAAATAAAGGTCGAGGTAGCCTGTTCCGACGGAAAGCAGCCAGAAGAGCTAAATCTCTGGGAAAAGATCATTGGGAGGAGCTTATATTTTGTAAGTATTTTTATCATAGCTTCTGAGCTTGATTTTTTTAACTGTTTGTTATCCTAAGCATTTATGTTTGGTTTGGGTGTTTGTATTTTAAGTCAACCCTTTACTAAACAAGAATTATTATACCTCCCTTCCCATATAAAGTAGCTTCCACATATATTTTCCTAACTGCTTTGATTTAAGTTTTTTTTTTTTCGTTTTTTTTATAAAGCTGATGAAGAGGGTAAGATTGAATGAATTTATTCATTTATTCACCTTTCATGCTTACTATTTACATTTACCTTGCAATTTCACTTTTTTATGCCTTTATTTTTTATACCAATTAATAACATACAATGATTTTGGAACCAGTTATTCATTTTGCCTTTAATCATTTTATTTATTGTTTACTCTATGCAGCCTTTGTGCACTTTCATTGCACATAAACAATGATCATTTTATCATAAGAACATTAATAAGAATACATTATGCACATATTATCATGAATATTTATAAGCTGTATATAATCTTCAGTCTTTATATTATATATATATTATAATTCACTAAAGATCTAATAATCATTAGAACCTAATCTCAATTTTTCATCCAATCAGCTTTGGCTGTGTCTAAATTTTGACTGACAACGATATGACAGAATATCCATTCATAGTTGATGTATCTAAAATAGAGCCTAAAATAGTTTGCTTTTTTTTTCTGATGACAAAGCTTAAAAGCATATCAACTACCTCTGAATTTATTGTATATATTGGTGTAACAATTTTGTTCATGGATTAAATTTTTAGCTTTTTTTTTTTTTAAAAGGATTATCTTTACTCATCTCATTATAATTTTATAAATATATTTATTTCAGCTGGAGTTAATACCAAATTCTCAGCATATCAAAGAGTTGTTCTGAGAGAAGGTATGTTATCATATTATTTGTGAAAAAAAGTCCAAAGTGGCTAATATCTTAGTTTACAACATAATTTGGAACAAAAGCTGGCTCCTTTCCAAGCTTGGTCCATGGTGCAAGTCTGGTCAATGATTTTGAAAGTCCCTGAAAAGACTTCAGGTGACTTTTGGAGAAGTGACAATCCTTGGTCTGAACCTGAATCTACATGATTGATGTTGTAAATGTAAGTTTTAAATTGATTTCAGCTGGTTTTGTTCGTCCTGTTGTTATTTTCGGTGGTATATCAGATATAGCTAGAGAGAAATTATTATCTAATTATCCAGACAGATTTGAAGCACCACGTAAGTATTTCTTTGTTAAATCTCACAATATAAATTATTTTCATAAAAGTTTATCTGAGTGCCCAAATTGGAATTCTGTCTGTGAATTTCGATTGAGAAAGTTTTATTATGAATTTTTTATTTGAGTCTTTGAAGCTGTAATCATTGTTAAAATATTTGTAAACATATAAGTTAAAGGAGGGTTTCTTTCTATATTTATAGTAGGTGAATCCAGTTCAGAAGATTCCAAGAAAAAGTCTGGTATAATCAGATTAGGTTCTATACGTGATATTATTACAAAGGTAAACATGATTAAATTTCTTGATACATTATGATTAATGTTTTAATACATTTAGTTGATTAGTGACGTCATTAAACACTTAGTTTTTGTGGGATTGCAGGAACCACAGATGTCTGATTGAAAATTAGAGGGGTGCAGATTGATGAAATACACATACAAAATTTTGAAATCCTCTTTACAATCTCTTTAAGATTTTCAAGATGTTCATTTCCATTTTTTTGTTTTCAGAGAAAACATGCATTAATAGACATCACACCTCACCATGTAGATAGATTAAACTATGCTCAGTATTGTCCTATAGTCATATTTATCAAAGCTGATAATAAACAAGCTATAAAAGATTGTCGTTCCAAGTTGAAAACTTCCAGTAAAAACCCTAAAAAGCTCATGGAACATAACGAAAAACTAGAAAAATTATATGCTCATTTATTCACTGGTGAGTTTCTCTTTATTTCTTCTGTGAATTGATTTCAGTGCTAACTTTTGCGCTCTGTCCTTCACATTTATGCCCTTTAGAGGTCTTGCAGCCATAGGAGTAGCTCATCTCCTTTCTGGAAAGAAGGATTCATCCATTGGTTCACAAGCATCCTGTCTACCATCTGGTTCTTGGCCAAACACTTAGCATTGATTTTTTCCAGGTTATTTATAACCTTGACTGAAATGAGAAAAGATGAATTTCAAATGTGATCCAAGATAAGAACCCATGACCATGTTATCAAGCAAATGATTTGTGATTGTAACACCCTAACTAGCTGTGCTACAGCCTGGCCCGATTTTTGATTTTTTTACATTGATTGATATGTTTTTCTTTCAGGTATTATCAATCATAACAGTTCTGATAACTGGTTTCCTAAACTCTGTGAAATAATCGAAGGTCAGAATCATCAGAAGATTTGGATGTCTGAGAAGAAACCTGAAGATGATATCAGTGATGATTTCCTCTTCCCCATGCCAAATAGAATGAGTTATGCTGGTCCTGAAGGGGGTGATGTAGATGGTACTGCTAATCATAATATGGATGGTAAAGATAAAAATAAACTAGTACGGTCCTCATCTGATCCCAATCTTAATGTCAATGACAAGATACCTGGTACACCATCCTACCATATACCTTCAGATTACACTCATCAGGTATGTTTTTTCTTTGAAATCACTCTGTAGTTTTTAGTTTGTTGCTCTTTTCATATGTCTTAAGTCAAAATATTTGAATTATAGCCGAGCTATTTTGAAGACCTGGTCTTCTTTTACCAATTCCAGTTGGTTTATTGAAATAATGAAAAAAAAGTGATATTTTCATTTGTAAATAGAGACTGTAACCTAGGACAGCCATATTTTGATGACAGATTCATAGCACTGTAAATGTCTGCACTGTTGTTAGCTCTGAATAATTATATAGATTTAAATGGTTATATTTGACACTATATGGATGTTTATATGATATTAAATTGATTATTTCAGCATGGATATGATGAAAGAATACCATATAATGGTGACTATAGAGATCATACATATTATAGAGATGGTAAGTTCAGTCTTTCTCTTGATTTGATGCTCTTGAAAATACATATAACTAAAGAATGGTTTATCTGTAAAAGATCTCAAGAGGCCTTCATACCATAGCTACCATAATTTGCAACCATGCATAACTGGTGAGGGCACCTTTAAATGCTTCTATGGGAGCTATTTTTAGTAAATTGAAGCATGGAAACCTTGCTACATCAATCTTTGACACTCTTCTTTTTTAATGATGGTTGCTTGTCTGGATTGTATATTTTGTGATCCTGTTTTCAAAATAAAAGAAACTATTTTATCTTGTAGAAAGAGGAAGACCAGAAGACCATTACTATCCATCTTATTATGCTCAAAACAGTCCATCATACTCACAGAATCGTAGTAACATCGATCCTTACGCAACTATTACACCTAGTGAAAGATTACGCCATAGATCTATGGATGGTAGGCTTCTATTACAAAACTTTCTTAACAATCACAAACATGACAAACTGTTAATCTAAAATGTAAATTAGTTGGGAGAGTTTTTAACTCCTCTTTAGGCTTTTAGAGGATGAGATGTGTTATAGGTTTCTGTGCATGTATAATGTCAGTTATTGTTTTAAAACAAAATATGATATGATGTGTGATAATCAACTCTAATTTTACAGTTGGACCGAACAGTAATGCATATATTCAACACAATGGTAGATTGAATTCTAATGATACTTACAGACCACAATATTCTTCTGTACAAAAACTATCATCTACTTCTCCTTATACATCACCTCATAGTGCTCAACATAATCACAAAGCAGTAAGTTAATAACATTTTATATTTAAGAATGACATACAGTGAATCCTGTTCACTCAACCACCTTATTAAGCAATCGCCTTCCAGATGCTACCACAATAAAGTTTCCCCTGCAACTTTTCAATGTAATTAACTACTGATGCAAGCTAAATTTAATACATATCTTATTCAGCACTCAGTCGAATATTAAGTTATCTCAATTCAAAATCAATCCTGTTAAAAATTGTGAGCTCTATTTAAAGATTGTTCATCTTGCTGGTATTACAGGTTCATACAGATACATCGTCTCACAGTAGTGACAGTTATAAACGTTATGTTAGTTCACCATCTAATAAACATGATGATTCTAAATTACGAGATAAATTTGGTAGTTTAGTTATAACTTCTGGTAAGAAATCAGATAAATCAGATCCCTACAGATTTACTCGCAGTACCACCAATCCTGTAAGTTCTGCTAATGTAGATAGAACCAAAATATCAGACCTTAGTGCTAAATATAGGTAAGTTGGTAAATCTTATAGACTCCTAACTCAGGGAACAACCAATGTTCGATTTTAGTGCAGCAGTTTTATTTTTCTGATTATCATACTGGCAGCCATATAATTATGAACATATGGACACTGTTTAACAAGTGCATCTAAATAATGCAATTTTGTTACATAGCTATACATGTCTTTCAGGAAAGATGATCAAAAAGTCAGTTCTCCTAATACTTCATCATCGTCATCTCGAGGACCTCCACCACCTGTAGCACCTAAAACGAAACGTGAACCCCCACCAGTACCAGTTAAAAATTACACTCTAAAAGAACGAGGAGTGGCATTTACTGATGAAAAATCTAGAAATTATGAAAATTCTAATAGGTATGTATTTTAGAAAACACAATAACAATCATGTAAAGTTAGTTTGCATGAGTTTTATACTAACTTTATCCAAATCTTCCAATTTTGTTACATTGCTTGCTTTGAATAATATCTTGCTTGTTTTGAATGCTTTTTTGAAATTTTGAATTTTGCAGTTCACTCTCCCTTTTGCTAACATGGGTCCTGTCTCACAAGAAATCTTAACGATAAACTTTGTTCAATGTGGTCATTTCTCAATGCAAAATTTCATACTTATGACAAATTCTTATCGTAAGATTGTTTGTAGAACATGGCTCTGATTATTATCCATTGTTAATTAAAAGCTTGATTTAGGTTGCTAGATGTAGTTATATTTTAGAACAATTTGGCATTGATTTAATTCCAGGAATTATAATTATCAAGACTATTCCTCTCCTAGTAGACATCAATATAATGGTACTGACAACGTTCATCATCCTCATTTACACGATACAGAAGGACCATACGAATATATCTCCATTAAACATCCAAATAGTCAAATAAGAGATTTACGACAAAATGGTGTAGATAGGGAGGGACTACATCATGTTGACAATCATTCAAACTATCATCCTTCAAATCATATCAATAGTTACGATAATCAAATATATAGCAGTGAATATTATACAGACAATATACCCTACGATCGCAACGTCAAATCTTTCGCTAATCAAATGTATATGGACCATGGTGATTTAGATTCTATGCGTACCAGTAAAGAACAATTACGTAGTGAATATTATCCTCCCATAGAGAATGGCTATACTAGACCCAGGTGAGAAGTGGTTTTTGGTTATTTTCAATACAGTATAAAGTGTCAGTATTAATATCAGTAGCTCACACAGTTGTAATTTGTCCAAAGAAATACTCGAATAAGAGTTATTGAATTTCAGAATATATTTAAACTAAAAATCGTTAACAAAAATTTGTTTTTCTGAAATTAAAACTTTTGAAATAAATTTTTACAATATATTTGGATTAAGGACAAAAAAATATATCAAAGTTAGTATTGCTTCGAAGAGATATCCATAGTTTCTACTGTGTAATCAGATAACACTTTTCTAAACAGCTGAGTGAGCTCAATTGCACTTATTTGTTAATGTGTTGATATTGGTTGTTAATGGATTGTACTTGTTAATGGCATTTAATTGATATTCTTTCTAACTCTTTTATCTTGACTTTCCTATTTTATAATGACATTGCCAAAATTTTTCATCTTTAACAAAATTCATCTTTTATATCCAATTTGTTAACCTTGCACATTTTTTCTATTCAAATTTTCTTCATAAAATTGTTGATTTTTTCAAAAATTATTTTTGTATAAATGTAAATAGATAGAATTATTTATAGTAATGTAAATAGATTTTATATTTGTATAAATTATAAAGAATGAACTGTAAATTATATTCATTTTTCGAATTGACAATTTTCGTGAATATAATTTTCTTACAGTTGCTTTTGATATAGTTTGTTAAATGCTAGTTTATTAGATTTTTTTGCATCTTTTTGTTAATATTAGCATAATAATCTTTAATATATTCCATGATCTTCATAGAATTACAGCAAAGAGGAAATTATTCCTGATATTTCTGTCAAAATTTGCATGTTTCCATTTCTTATGTGCCCTAAAAACCAAAAACTTTCATGCATGATTGGATCATAAATTATCATGAATTTGAAATCTGCATGCAAAGTCCTAAAAATATGAAAAGGAAGCATGCATTTGGTGACAACAAATTTTTATTAAATTTTCATGCTCAAAATTTCTTCAGCATAAATTTTCATAATTATAATTTCTGTTATTGTCAATTTCCAAGCATGATATTAAATATTTATCAAACCAAGCATGTTCCTTTTCATTTTATCACAAGAATCCCTAATCCCGCAACTTCGTCTTTGCTAGAATTCTGTCATTTTAGCATCATGCTATCCTAACAAGTTCACAACAGCCTAATGGAGAACAATCCAGAATAACCCAACCAAATCATTTAATTTACAGAACTGATGATGAACAACTTGAGGAACTGAGTCAATTTCGTCAGCGTGCAAAATCTGAATCTCGGATAAAAACTTCCTCATCCCCTCCAAAATCAGAACGATATAAAAGTTGGGACCCTGATAAACATGTACGAGAACATTTTGAATCGTATATGAAGTTAATTACCCCTGGTTTCTATGGACACAAGAAACAGTTTTCTCAATCATTTGGTGATGTTCGGTAAATAGTTCACTCTAATTATCTGCCCTTGGTGATGGTTCAGCCATGTTGCTTTAATTTAGTAGTTGACTGGTGATAGAATATACAGTTCTAATAGTAATCACACTTTCATTACATACTTTACATAAATTTAAAACTCTGAACACACTTACCAGCATTTTAACACCATATATATATAGTAAAGTTTGAATAGATGCACTGTTGTAAAATGTATGAACATTTATGCATGCACATGGTTTTAGGCTAGGGTTGATTGATACTGCAATCATGAATCATTTGATGCACTATAAATAACACTACAAGTGCAATCTAAGTAAAAATGGGGTCAATAAACAGACCGGTATTGAAAAAATTCTTAAATTTAAAGTTAGGCATTTTCCTTGATAACCCTATGGCCTTGGAAAGGTTAATAGGTATGTAGTGTTGTACATCACTTTCGTATATTTGAAGAAATTTAAAATCGTTGTGTGTTTGACCTGCATGATTAAGTTAGGTAGTGAAAAGACAGTAGGGTTTGCATGATAATACACTTATATAACAAATAACAAAAACACAAGACAATATTATTGAATATAACAAGCATGACTGTTAAGTTAGTGTTCAAGTGTATTATTTACTATCAGATGACATTGGGGGTTTTTTTTGTTAAGAAAAAATTGTAAAAATTTTGCTTGTCCCTATTTTACTAACATATATTTTCAGATTATTTGTTGAAGATGTTTAGTCATTTTGTTATACAAGTTTTACTCAAACCTTCAGTTCTTAGGAATCTACTTGACAAAAAAGAAAAAAGTAGAGCATCAAAATAAATCAATTTTTGAGAAAAAAAATTGCCTCAATATGACATTTTCAAACAATCAATTATTTCATTGTTAAGTTAGCTTTTTGTGAATCTATTATTATCATGGCGATTTTTTGGAAATATGTGTTTAACAGCGGCTCATTTATTAATGCGAGTACTTATATCTAATTTGTAGACTTTTAACTCAATTCTGGAGCAAGATTTTAACTTTTTTTTTTTCCTTTGATAGAAATGGTGAAAGGGTAGCAGAAGGTCAACAGAATGGAATAGGAGCCTTTAAAGCCTATAGAAAATCTCAACCTTTGAGTACATTTGGTAAAAAAGATCCTGCAACAATTGAAAGACAGTCACCATTAAAGGAACAAAATCCACCTGAAAACTCACACGCTCTTGATGACAGGTAAAAATATCTTTTGAAACACAAGTTTTGTTGTGTTCTTTTTAACACATTTCTTTTACTCATGGTGGTTTGGTTTCACAACTAATGATTCTTGTACTGTGCTTGGTTTATAACATTCTATCTTATTTATTTCTTCAAATTTAGATTCAAATTAACATGTAAATAAGCTGTTCTGGTTAACAGTTTTGTCATTTAAGCCAGACACATCCGATATATGTTTTATAAAGAATTTAGCACTATCAAATCTGCATGTCAAAAGAGAAAAAATTTAATCTTTTGGGTCATGGCATTAGCTTATAAGTGTCATCTTTTTTCCCTCCCCAAATGACAATATTGTGTGGTTTTATGTGGTTTCTAAACTTAGAGAGTAGTTACCTTGTTAACCCCAAACTGATCCATTGTTAATTTCTGTATTGAGGCATTAGTTTTGATATTAATTATTTTCGATCTATGTCATGAAATAATTTTTTTTAAATCATCAAATTCTATTGCTGATACAATTCAAAAGTAACATTAGACAGTTGAGATCAAAAGTTTTAACGAGAAATTTTTGTATTAAATAATCTTACCTTAAAAACAGAAAATTATGTTAACTTAATGGAACAGGAAAGGGTTACTGATTTAGGGTTAATGTAACATCTATCATTCTTTTCTTTTAACCATCTCATTCTGTTTTCTTTTCATTTTAACCCTAGTTGTTCATTTGTTCCTGTACCCCCTCCTCTACCCTATGTGGAGAGTAAGATAATAGTGCCCCACCCCTCTCCAATATTTAATAATGTGGTCGAGACTGATAAAGGAGATAATACTAGTAGTTGTGATGGTACCTTGTCTAGTAACTCTACACCAGATACAGTTATACAAGGGTAAACTATCCTTTATCTTGTATCTCATATCTCTTTTCTCTATCTCTTATCTTGTATCTTATATTCCTTTTCTTTTATCTTGTATCTTATCCTTCAGGATTTCAGACTAGTTTAGATGCTTTATTTACTAAGTTTCTCTTTATCTTGTATCTTTATCATTAATTTAGTCTAGTGGATATCTTATTTCTTCAATATAAGGTATCCTTTATCTTAATTATCCTTCATTTATACATTAATATAAGCTTATAGGGCATCTCTGATACCTTGTTTGTTATGTGCCAAAATCATCTTGAACATATCTTAAACAATTATTTCTCATTCTCTATTTCTTTCTAAATGTACCTTTTATACATCTAAAAATCTAAGCTACTTATTTCTTGAGTCAAAATCAAAACTTTCCTTATAGTTTATATCTTGTATTTGGCTAAGGCATTGTTTGTATCCCTCACTATGTATCTAGTGGATGTTGTATCCTTTATTGTATCTGAAGCATTCTTTTACTGTTTGATTTGACTTTATCAACATTAAGAAAAGTGTCCTGGCTATTTTGATAATTAATTTGAATATTTGTATCGTATTACAGGATGGATTTTGGCCGAGAAATAGATGAAAACCATACAGTACTAGCAACAGCTAGAGGTAGTTTTGATTCTAATGGTGGTGTTCTAGAATCTAAAGAAACAGGTAGGACCTATTTTTAGTTCAATATTCTGTATGAGTAAGAAAGAAATATCAATCAAACAAGGAGCTTAACAATCTGTGACACCTGATACCAATTTGAAACTCCATTTGTTAATTTGGAGAGTTCACATAGTTTATCGGTGTGCTGACAACAATTCATTATTTCTTCATTTATAGGAGTTAGTATTATCATACCACCAGGAGCTTTAGCAGAAGGACCAAAGCAAGAAATATATTTTAAAGTCTGTAAAGATAATAGTATTCTTCCACCATTAGATAAAGATAAAGGTAGGCAATTCTATTTACTGGAAAAAAATATTTATTATTGCTTGAACATTTAGGAAACAACGCGATTTATACCTTAAGAATTTGACTTAACTTTTTAAGGAAGAGCTGTAGATACTGATAAACTTTGTAAGAATGGTTGTAACATTGCATTGAAAACAATATTACAAAGGCACAGACACAAGATTTGGTTATACCACTACAAGCAGAAAGTTGCAAAAACATCATTAATTTCAAATTGTTCAAGTCATGCATGTGGCCTATATGTCTTTTCCTCTAAAAAAAAAAAAAAAAAAAACCATCCAAAGAATATTGATGTCTTAAAAGATATCCTAATTTGATATTATAGAATGAATTTGATCATATTTTATAGGAGAAACATTATTAAGTCCATTAGTAATGTGTGGTCCTCATGGTTTAACATTCAATCATCCAGTAGAGTTGAGATTACCACATTGTGCTGCTGTAAATCCTGATAGTTGGTCTTTTGCTTTAAAATCTAGTGATTCACCCTCTGGTATGTATACTTCTGTTTTATTTAAGCCATGAGCTATGGACCCATTGGGATAGGATATTATGGGCAGAGTGTTGAATTGAATAATTCATAAATGGCATTGCTATTTATGGTAAATTTGGCAACTCTCTGTAGTATCAAGGCTGCAATGTAATGAGACAAATTCCGACTAACAACCAAACTTTCATTTATGTATTTTAAAACCACCCAGACCATCCTTTGCCTTTACAATTCTGATTTATCATCGGATGCCTGTGGTTCCTGAGATTCCAGAAAAATATGACCATATTTGGACTTTACTAATGCAAAATATAAATTGGCTGACTTGTGCTACCAGATAAACGAAAAAAAAAAAACAATGGCTCATGAATTCTGGATTGTTTTCTTACAGGTCATCCTACTCAATGGCAGAATATGAATCTAGCTGGTATGGACGGTGTTACTCAAGGTCATGTGGGTAAAAATAGTGTATCTGTTATGGTGGATCATTTTTAACGTGACAATTTAATATCTTGTCACCCAGCATCACCAGCACTACCTCATATTACCATACACAAATTGATTTACCAGACGTTCAGAGAAATTTGCTTTTCTGTTTCCCAACTTCACGAAACCCCAAATCAGGAAGACTATCCGTTAATCAATAACCAGTTAACCAATCAGATTGCATTTCTGGACTCTGGTAAATAAATCTTAATTGTTACCATGTTTTCATGCTTTCTTACTTAAGTTTGTGAAACTTTCAAAAAGCATATTTTATTTTATTTTTTTTTATCATAAAGTAACTTTGAGTAAAAAATGGCATCACACAAGTATAATGGCAGGCTTTAGATACTTAAATTTGAGTAAAAGAAATGGCTGATATTACAGCTTTGTGTGAACTTAACAAAATGCCTTACATATTTTAAGCAAATTAGGCTTTTAGATCTCTGTTAGTTCTAAAAATGGAAGCAATATCCTTTACTGCTTTCTGTGTTTCTGACATATCAGAACAAATGAAATCTATAGTTAATGAGAAACGTTTTGTTTTTATTGTTACAAACTTGTTATTGTGCAGCAAAATATGCTTTTGGAAAAACTCTAATATGAATTATTAAGTCGGTAAATTAGAAATGATTATTACTTATTGTTATTGTGATATTAGGCTATTGTACTTAAAGGCATCTTTATATTCTGATCACTTCCCTGAATTGCTTGTCGTGATATCTTTCCCAAATAAGTATTTAAAATTGTGCTTTTCAAAAATAGTACCTTGTCAGGTTGTGTAAATTTCATGAAATATATGATCAAACTACCTGATGTATTTAAAAAATATAAAAAAGAAAATTCTGTGTTTGTTTTAAAGGTTACATGTACAATTCTAGCATTAAAGGACAAGTTTCATTTGTACAGATTTCCCTTAATCTCTCTTAGAAAATTGTTCTCATGTTTTGTGAAATCATCATCTGGTTGTGTATTTCTGTTATTTTTTGAAAGATATATATGTTCCTGCAAAGTTTCATGCAGGAACAATCAAGGTTTACAAACCAAACATGTCCTTTAAGGTTTATTCTTTAGATGCATTAAGAGACTAGAAGTCTCAAAGTATATTTATATACATAATATAGGGTTGTGACTATGAACTTAAAAAAAAGGTTGAATTGTGCTAAATCTTGTTTAATTGTTGTGTTGTGTTTTATTATATTTGTTATTGTTTTATAAAACCTTATTATAAGGTCTGTTATTATATGTATATAAATTTTACTTATATTTAAAATATTTTTAAGAATCTTTGTTAGAAATAGAGAAGCAAGTAAATTTTTCTCTGTTTTAGTATTGTTAAGGTTTCTGCTCATTTGTATCTCACTTAAAAAAAAGACTTTTACAAACTGTAATCCAAAAGGAGTGTCGAAAAGCTGACAAAATCAATGAGGTAGACAGGAACTAAGTCATGTTCCTTAAGCAACGGTAGGATTATTCAGATGATCATTATCATGTAACATTGCTTGGAACATGGAACTAACTATGATAGCCATTAACTTTACATTTGAATATCATTGGCTGAGCAATCTAAATATGATTTGCAGCATGGTGTTTTCGACCAATCAAGTGTTTTATCTGTAAAATGGTAACCTTGATATAAGCATTACATGACCATTTGGACAACATATATTACCTTTATTGAGGAAGAGTTAAAGTGCAGTGTCATGTTATAAGCAGAAAAAAAATCATTAACAATGCTGTAAGATAGCCTAAAAAGAATCTTTATTATTTTTTCACGTTTAAAAGATATTTATATATTCCTGTTATCACTGCCCCGACTTTTTCTTATATAGGTTATCATTAACTTGTTATAGTTTTGCATTTGTATATCATCATTATTATAGCTGGAATTTGTATATCATAATCACTATTATAGCTGGCTTTTGTAATTTTGCATCATTCTTGCAGTCTGCTTTTTCTTATCATAAAAGTTCCCATTAGTCTCTGCTTTTCTATATCATCCTTATTTCTGTGTATTCTCTTTGCAATTTGCATTTTCGCTCACATTATTACAATTTGCATTTTTGTATCATCTCTGTAATTTGCAGTTTATAATTATCATCATTGTAAAGTACTTTATTTTTCTTTTATATTTAATCTGTCTTCCTTGGATTCCTTATATAATAATTATCAAGATCAGGTTTGTGTTTGAAACATCAGAAGTTGCAAAAAGCAATCTTGACTTAATAAAGATATCAGCTTTGTCAACAGTTTTGAAAAACAGTAAATTTTGATGTTTCTGAAAATCTAAGTATGCTTTATTTCTACATACAAGCTTTAAATGTCTTCCTTTTATCTTTGTATTTGTGAAATTTCAAATATTTTGCTAATGCATGAATATCTATTTTCTCAATTTTCATATACTCTTTGTAATTTTGCATTTTACCTGTATGAACCAAAGACAGACCTCTCTCCATAATTTTAAGCTGACTTAAATGGAGACTTAACTCTTGTTAAATGATATTACTTCTAATAATTATCAAATTACAGAAGGCAGCCTTGTTAACAAAAACAACTTAACAATTAAATATAATACAAAACCATTTTGTGCGTTGTTTATCTTTCTTCTTGATTCGCCAAAGTTGGTTAAATCAGAAAAAGTTAATCCATATTACAGCCATTGTCATGTGGTGTTGGATTTGACCTCATTTTGACTAATTAGTGATTGTTTTATAAAGTAAGTGCTATCTCCTCAGAATCACTTCAGTGCAATATTTGTTTCATTTAATCTAATTGGTCGAAAAATTACCCATTGAACAATGAAAATCAGTCGGAAGAATATAGCCATAGGCTAGCTTGTTTCGTGTTTTCTGACTTAAATCCTTGAAAAGTCTTAATGATTCATTGTAAGAAAACTGGGGTGATGTTTTATTTTTTTTGCATAATTAATAATATACCATCTCATATTGATGGCTTAGTAATCCGGACACTGTCCAGGCTCTATTCCGTTTTAAACCAGCATAGGCGGCCATAATGCTTTTGGATTTATCAACCCGTTTCCCCTTTTTTGCCATGCAGGTCTGTGAGGCTGGCATTGAAAATGCATCTCATTTTGGGAAAATAATTGCATTTTCGTTTACTACAGTCTGTACTATCCATGGCTTTGTGCGTCTTTCATCCCTCATTAGATGCTAAAAATTGAGATATAATGTACCGTTTCATTTCTCCATAAAGACAACCGACACTGATGCAATTCGTTTTTGCCTCACATAGCAGTATTTCAAATTTTGAACAATAATCCACCCACCTCCAAATCTTTCGGATTTTCAGATTATAGCCACAGCCACGTGATTGAAAAGAAACTTGTCAAATCGAGCTTATATCATAATCATATTTTACTCTAAGCTAACGCAAACGAGCTCTTCAATAATGAAGATAATATCTGAAAAACTCCAGACGAACATTTTGTCAATGTGAACCATCATCTTGTAACAAAGTATACTGGGGCAAGGTAATAATTTCAAAACAGCTCAGCAAATCATGAGGTAAGTGAAACTCTCCCTATTTTATCAAATATAATCGCAGTAGCAATAATTATTTCAGTTTTGTTACGTCCAGTATTGAGAAGTTACTTTGCTCGATTGAGATCAACTTCTGTTTTCCTGCTGTCTATGCTGGAAAGGCTACACATTAAATCAAAAATAGTTTTCGTTTTAGAGGAAATTTTCTGTTGACTTTAAATCTTCTTGACCTAACTGCGAATATTTTTCGAAGTGATTTTCTGGTCAAACTTTTTAACTTCATGATTCAAACATAAAACAATAAAGCCCACTCTTCCATTAAATTTATTTTCTTAAATATTTCACGTTACGCCCTTGGTGGCTATACATGTGAAAGTGTATATATTATGCATGTTATTGCTATTCCTCATGTCTAACTCTATCCTTGATCCCTGTATGCCTGGCAGGTATGACCAAAAATAGGATCTGCCAGACGTGTTCCAACATGGTGTCATTTAGACAATCGCATACAAGCCTAGTTATGTGGACTACATGTATTGTAAAAATAATTCGGAACATTTGTACTCCTTTTGACGGTCTTCTGAGCTGATACAACCCAAAAAATCTATCACAGACAAGGACCTAAAGGGTCAATAAAATTCGAAGGTAACAAATTGAGAATAGAAACACAGGATATAAATTCTATTGTAATATCTAAAATTTAAAAAAAAATGAAAATACAAAATGAATAAAATTCTAAATATATACATCAATCATTTTAAAATTGTCTCCGGTTCGCAGTTAAGGTGACATGACTTTTCATATACATTGATTTATATACTTAAAAATGATGTAGTCTACTTGAATATTTTCAAAATATAAACATATATACCGGTATTAAAATACAGAAAACAACAAACGTCAAATTAAAAAAATCAAAAATTCTTGCTCATTTAAAATCCTATAAGATTCAAATTTGATTTTGATAGTATAATAAATCCGACATAAATACTAAGTTTAATTTGTACACCGTTGAGCAATTGAAACAATATGGGCAAATGGAGTTTCAGCGACTGTGAGCAAAATGACGTCGGCAACTGGGAGAATCTGATTAACTGAATAAAATCGCAGTTGCTGTAGGCCTAACTGTCCACCATTTCTTTATATTAAATTTTCCAGCAAAAATTGGATCATGTCGTCGAGCGGTCGGGTTCTGAGGCCACCAAGTTGAGCGTTTTGGATTCTACCAGAGGCTCTGAATCATTTATAGGGCAGCGCCTGATAGGTTTCGTCGTCATTTATTTGAAAAAAAAAACGCAAAATAGTAGATCAATATAATTTCAAAATAATGCACAAAATATGCATTGACTGTTGTATGATCATAAAATTGATAATAGATTAAAGGAATTTTTTGCGAAGCTTTCGAAATGTTGATTGTGGTTCATAATGTATAGGTGTTAATAGTCAGGATGTGGGCGGTTTTGCAAACCTTGTTTAGGTTCACGATAGGCATGAGTTGAGAAACTGTTTGACCAGTGTTTGGGTGATGAATTTCTATAATCAGGTCTTCCATTACCGGTGTTACTATTAATAGCAGTAACAATGGAACCATTATATATGAAATCATAACCAGCGTCGCCATCTGGCACTGCTCCACCTCGTCGATCAAAATCCACAGACACAGAATCCCAGGAATCTGCATATTGACGTGTGTTAAACATAGTAGGTGGTCGTGAATACAGATTTGGTTCTGATCTTCTAAGCTGACTATTTCTGAAATATAGATAAACTCTTTGTAACCAAGTGCAGAGAATCCACAAAGGAATTCAAAAGAGGTCTTCGTGTGTATGTTTTGTATCGGACACACCGTCAGCTTCTTTTTGCATCATTCGGAATTTTTTTGGTCCGAAATTTTGACCAAATTAAAACCAATAATTGCAAAATTATATTGTGATGAAATAATTTGGGAAAGATAATCTGGATTGCAGGAAACACATAATCGGAGAGGTGCTAATACAAGCTAAGTGCCTTCTATATACGTATACAAAAGTTATACAAGAAGGCCGATTTAAATCCCTTTCAGATGTTTACATCAGTAACTGAAAACAAAACAAGATCTGAAGCATCTCTTCTAATCGATAGTTTCTTTGATATGCATAATGGCTTGGCAATTGACAATATCTTACTTGATCCATCTGGTCATATTCAAGTAGACTAATCAGTTCAGGCTGGCACTATTAAAATATCATTCTGACAGCTAGGATGAAAGATAACCAACCGTTCAGAAAAAGTTGAGGCTTCAGTTTGTGGTGATTTCGGTTTCTTCCAGAATCGAACAGTACATGCAACTAATATCACTAGTACTAAAAATACTAAAGCTAACAGCACAGCAACACATATTATAGGTAGCATACTGATATCACTATCTACTAGAACAGTTGGATCCGATTCTTCTATTGCTGAAATACGGCAGAACATCTAGAGTTTCATGAATTCTGCCTATAAGCTAGTATATAACGAACCTGTATCTTTTTTTTTTTGGCAATTTTATTAGGAATCAAAAAGTAGCGTTTACTTGTTACTCAGTCCATGACTACTTTCATATTGAATTTGAGCCATAATGTGATATAGCTTCCGAGACAGGCCATAGTCTAATCACCCCCGTGGAATGACTATAGTAGTCAAAGTTTCCAATATTTTATTGAGTCAGTCTTTGTTGCATCTATAGCTCCTAGCAAAATACAAATCCTATTCATTTGAGGCAACAAGCCACACGAAGACAAAACTTATACTTACTGGTAGTAGTAGAAGTAACAAATCGTGCAGCCTCACATGTTGGTATGCTATCATTCCATGAACCAGATGATAAACATTTTAATGATTTGGGTCCTATTGGGATATACTCTGGATATCCTAAACATGATATCTCTGTAACTGTACCGAGTGATGTATCATAGTTTGATAATTTCAGTTCAGCTGCATTCTTTATTGTTATGATAACTGGTTGAGGATCGGCTAATCTGGGACAGTTTGCTGAAAATATAAATTGATAAAGGCCTGAGATTATAGCAAACGCTATCTCAAAAATGTTAACAATCTGAAAAAGAACGACGATCGCATGAAACCGTATGTCGTCACTCCAAAGTGCCAGTGGAACAACAAAATATGAATTGTCGGTGTAATCGACGATAGCCAAAGCTGTTCAAAGCTACGAAGAAACGATCATTAAAGCATACGACCAATTTAGCGACAATTCGGATATTCGTCTACCTCCTAAACATTTAATAGGTATAGGTATTTTGAACAAACTTATAAACGTCCTTCAGCTGAAGTCGTCCTCAGACGTTTATATTTGAAAAAAAAAAAACAGAAAAGAAAAGACTAGACACATACAACCTAATCATCATCTAGTTATTAAACGAACGAGAATATATTATGTCAAATTGTTATTACTCCTTCCTATCATAAACATTTACAATTGACATAAATAATACGCCTTATTGTGTCAAAATACCAATTACACCAATTGTATTTATTATTTTACTAAATGATATATCTTAGAGTTGTTGGTCATATTACTAAGGAAAATGTCAAGTATTTATCTATATCTGTAACGTATGAATATCTTCGTAGATATAAGTGTCTTTATTTATGGCATCAGTAAAAACCAGATCTTATGTTCAAAATATCGGTATTCAACTATTTTTTGTCCAAATTTCCAATACTTGTTCCACAGAAGGTGAGAGGGTTTGGAAGAACGACTTGAAAGGTATTTTATATTTAAAACATATTAATAAAATTCAGGATATAAGTTAATCCTTTAGCGAAATTTAGGTGTACAGATCACATTTAATAACGGAAAACAATTTTATGGTATATTACTCCTTAGTTTTATTGTACACAACGTTTCAACAATATACATTGCCATCATTAGGTAATGACAGTGTAGATTGTCGAAACGTTGTGTACAACAGAACTTATAGCACATTATATGTGGTTTACATAGAAGCCGTAACCTGTTTCAGTGACTCTTGCATGTATATCGTATAAATGAAAATCTCAATAATGAATGAAGTAACTTACGCATTCTAAGGATTTTACTTCTTCACATTAATATCATCAATCCATAATCCATAATCCACTGGAAATCAGCATCTGTTACCTACTGAAAAATACCAGACCACCCTATATTATTATAACTCTAGAAATGACCTAACATCCAATTTAGGGTACAAACTTCTTGTCTCTCATTATTAGAGAGCGAAAAGACCTCGAGGCAAATTCTTTTTTTTAAAAAAAAAAAAACATTAAACATTATATGTTCATGTATGGATTGATGTTGTCGGTATGTTTTATTATTTTATCACATCTACCCTGACAACCGACTGTTTGACACAATCTGGCCCATAATTTATATGAAATGATGTAAAAATTGAAATATATTCAAGAAAATATTGATGTACACAAATGCAGGAAAGATAAATATTATTCTATGTGAATTGTGATGGGAATGTATTACTAATGACGGTGATATTGTATAAACCTGACTAATGATAGCGATATTGAACAAACGTGACTAATGACGATGATATTGTATAAACCTGGCTAATTATGGTGATATTGTATAAACCTGACTAATGATGGTCATATTGTATTAACCTGACTAATGATGGTCATATTGTATTAACCTGACTAATGATGGTGAAATTGTATAAACCTGATTAATGATTGTGATATTGTATAAACATGACTAATAATGGTGATATTGTATTAACCTGACTAATGATGGTGATATTGTATAAACCTGATTAATGATTGTGATATTGTAAAAACCTATCTAATGATGGTCACATTGTATAAACTTGACTAATGATGGTCATATTGTATAAACCTGACTAATTACGATGATATTGTATTAACCTGACTAAAGATGGTGATATTGTATTAACCTGACTAATGACGATGATATTGTATAGACCTGAATAATAATGGTCATATTGTATAAACCTGACTAATGATTGTGATATTGTATAAATCTGACTAATGATGGTGAAATTGTATAAACCTGACTAATGATGGTGAAATTGTATTAACCTGATTAATGATGGTGATATTGTATAAACCTGACTAATGATGGTGATATTGTATAAACCTGATTAATGATGGTGATATTGTATAAACCTGATTAATGATGGTGATATTGTATAAACCTGACTAATAATGGTCATATTGTATAAACCTGACTAATGATGGTGATATTGTATAAACCTGGCTAATGATGGTCATAATTGTATTAACCTGACTAATAATGATGCTTATTTTGTTTAACCTGATTATTCTATTGACCAAGCCAAAGGAAGGTATCGGGTAATTTGAAACACGTGTCATAAAGCACAAAGAAATAACTATCAAAATATAAGGTCTGGGTGTGGTATTTAAAATATGTTTTAATGGGGAACAGACAATTTCGTGAATTGTTGAATTTTATAAATCATAACTGTCACTGACAATCGTAAAGAGCTCACTTCAAAGCCAATTAAGGCTGTTTTTACTCTGTTTGGTTTAATGGAATAGCAATAGTAATAATCAAACGAACAAGAAATATGTTCCATTGATCTATTATGATAAAAGAAATGTAATCAACAGACACTTTGATAATAGAAAGATCGATTTATTGACAACCTCGTGTTGTTATTTTATTGTGAGTTGATAACAAGAGGACCTGACTACCTACATATATCTACCTTGACCTATTGATATTTTGATCAGATATATAGCTTTACCTGATGGCAATATTATAAATTTACATTAAAGAGAGAGTATGCACCAAGTTACTTGGTATATTTCATATATCCATATTATCGTATACAAACAATTAAATGATATTATGAAAAAATTTTGAATATCGAACTTCTCTCTCTTTTGACAGTAATGTTAGACCGAATTTCAACTCAAAATATTAATAATGATTAATATATTATTGGTCATCAGGAGGCATGACTAAATCACCATTCTTAATGTTATGATGCTTATACAACCTCCCCCCCCCCCCCTTTATTTCTCTACTGGATTGCGCACGTATTTTATTGGTATATACATTTTTGAATAATTGGTGTCAGTCTTATAAAAACAATACGTATACGCCTTAAACATAACAAAATTGTGACAACCGCTCCCACATACGACGTTTTTGTTGAAAAATTTAAAACTTCTTACTCTTTGATTCATTTGTTTTCTTGTCTAAATTACTTTTTGTATAGATGTAAGAGATCAAATAAAATGTTGGAAGCAGTGGAATTCTTTCAACCGTTTATTACGTTTTCTATTTCTATTCAAAAGTATTTACCCGTTATAAACTAAAGTTCAAATAATGTATCATATTCATATGATAAATGACAATGATCTAAAAACTAATTCATTATGTTAACAATCATTTTGAGAATTAGACTTCATTGACAATCCTTTCCTTATTATTAATTATATCATTCAGCAAGACGAACACCTCTCCGAAAGGCTCCTCTTAATGACTTACCTTTACGTTCTGTTAACTATATCAATGTTCTCCAAGAGAAAAAAAACTGTCAAATACTAATTGCTTTATCGCCAATAATTAAAAATCCCAAT